TGAAGGCGCGCGTTCGCGTCCCCTCTCCCAATTGTCCTCTTTACCAGCTGAGCTAGCGGTGCTAGCCTCTCTGAGTTTTGGCCTTGTTTTAATTGGTGAAGGCGAGCGTTTTTCGCACCCTCTTTAAATTGTCCTCTTTACCAGCTGAGCTAACGGTGCTAGCCTCTCTAAGTTTTGGCCTTGTTTTAATTGGTGAAGGCGAGCGTTCGGGCCCCCTCTCCCAATTGTCCCCTTCACCAGCTGAGCTAGCGGTGCTAGCCTCTCTGAGTTTTGGCCTTGTTTAAATTGGTGAAGGCGAGCGTTCGCACCTCCTCTCCCAACTGTCCTCTTTACCAGCTGAACTAGCGGTGTTAACTTTTCCAAGTTTCTTACCGTAATTTTTTCGTCCTATACCTTGGACATAGCTGGGTGAGGAACATGGACGGCTCTCACTGATGTACAGTCTGTGGAGCCATGCTCCAGACAGATGACGGTCATGACCTGTGTCCTGCCTGGCTTGGACATGACCATCTGGTGGAGGCCCTGTCAGAGAACCCCTGCATGAATTGCAGCTTCATGTCGCATGCTGTGAGGGTGGCCCGGCTGGCCCAGTATCACCCTGAACTCGGTGATGACCTCCCGCCTTCTGGGCAGGAGGCTCCACCTAAGCGCTCGAAGCGCCGGACTGAGGCCGCAGTCTCTGTGGCCCCTCCTAGAAAGAGGCAGGCCAGGTCTGATATGGGCCTCTCCACGAGGGTGGAGCAGCTCTCCGCTGAATTAGCGGAGATGAAGTCCCTTTTTCAGGTACACCAACTGGGAACTGAACCAGTGGCAGCGACCGGACTCTGCTCCCCACCCATGCCTGAACTGGCTGCAGAGGAAGATGTGCTATCCTTGGCTGCCTCTGCCTTAGGTGAGGAGGAAGGGCATTCATCTCAAGTCTCAGAGACAGCTTCACTTTCTTCTTCTCGGAGTGTAGTTAGTGGGTCTGGTGACGGCTCGATGCAGGACGTCATGCGTATGGCCCTGAGACAACTGCAGCTGGACGTCCCGCAATCGGAGGAGTCCACCCCTGGAAGTGCCTTCTTCCGGCGCAGACTGAGCCCTCCTTCCTTTTCTGTCCCTCTATCAGAGGACAGGCCCAGCAGGAGCTTTAGTGGGTCGGTCCATTGACCAGCTGGGCAGGCTCGGACCAGGGACTCTGGCCACCCCACCCCATGACCTCCAGGAGCCATGGAGGGAGACACTGATGCCACCGGGCCGACCGCTGGATACTTCTCCCACCAGCAGCTCAGTTACTGGGCGGCTCATGCCGTGGACCCATGGGTGGTTGCCACTCCGACCCATGGTTACAGACTACAGTTCCGACGGCGGCCCCACATCTCACGCCGGGTCAAAGTGACTATAATCACCGACCCGGTGAAGGCTTGAGCACTAGACCAGGAGTTTTTTGCCCTCCTGGCCAAGGGTGCAATTGAGGCAGTGGACCCTCTGTAACAACCCAGAGGCTATTACTTGACTTAATTCCTCGTGCAAAGAGGATGGCGGGTTTCGTACCATTTTAGTTCTGAGGGGACTCAACCAGTACCGAAGGGTGCTGCCCTCCCACATGCTCATGACAGCAGAGAGGTCCTTCAAGCTGTCACGAGGGGACAATGGTTCACGTCTATAGACCTGAAAGATGCTTATTCTCATGTGCCTATTGCGGAAGGACATCACCGCTTTCTCAGGTTTGCCTATTGGGGTCATCACTGGCAGCTCCGGGTACTCCCATTTGGGCTCTCTCTCTTTCCCAGAGGATGTTCACTCGGTGCGTGAAGGCAGCCCTCTCTCCTACAGGCCTACGGAGTATAGGTTCTGCTGTACTAATTGATTGGCTTCTCTGCGCCCTGTCTTGAGCCTGTGCCTTTCATGACATGAATCGCCTGCTTACTCATGTGTTCCAGTTGGGCTTTAATGTCAACCTGGAGAAGAGCTGCCTGATCCCTTCTTAGACGATCACCTTTCTTGGGTGGCTCTAGATTCACCATCTATGAGAGCTCGCCCATCCGCTCAAAGGATGGGCGGCATACTCCAGTTGGTCAGTCGGTTCAGGCTTGGCAAGTAGCTCTCCTACATTGCCTTCCAGCAGCTACTAGGCAACTGACGTCAGTCACTCGGGTGGTGCCCCTAGGTCCGCTGTCACTTTGCCCCTTGCAGAGGTGGCCCAACAGCTTCGCCAGGATGCCAGGCTGCACAAGTATCACAAGCTCACAGTGACATGGTCATGTCTTCATGCCCTGACTCCATGGAGGGACAAAGATTAGTTGTCTAGGGGTGTCCCCATGGGAGTGGTAGTGTGTCGCAGGGAAGCGGTCACAACGGATGCCAGCTCCATAGGATGGGGTGCTGTGTGACAACGCAGAGCGGTTCAGGGCCGCTGGGGTCAAAGGACCGCTCCAACCATATAAGGTAATGGAGCCGTGTGCACTGCATTTGGCACTCAGGTACTTCTTGCTCCACCTGGAAGCGGGGCATGTTCTCAATCGGTCAGACAACACCTCTGTTGTCTACCACATCAACCACCAGGGGGGCACCAGGTCAGCACAACTTCCGAGTATGTCCAGAGAACCCTTGGAATGGGCCTCTCCTCACTTGTCCACCCTGCGGGTGGCATACTTACCAGGGTGACACAGTCAGGCCGCAGACTTTCTCTCCCGCCAGGGGTCTGCTCTGGGAGAGTGGTTCCTCCACAGCGACATAGTGCTGATGATCTGAGAAAGTTTTGGTCAGGCAGAGGTAGACCTGTTTGCAACAGAGGACTCAACTCAGTGTCCCCTATGATACTCCCCTACCGGGGCGTCTGGTGCGCTGGGCCAGGACGCATTGGCCCATCCATGGCCAAGGGTCCTCCTATATACCTTTCCACTCCTTTCTCTAATTCAGTCGACCCTTCAGGGAGTCCTCAAGGAGGGCCACAGGGTGCTGCTGGTGGCTCCATATTGGCCAGCATGACCATGGTTCCCACTGCTATGGGGCCTATGTCAGGTGTCCCATGGTATCTCAGTTGGGGTGCCTTATCAGTCCCCCCAATCCTCAACATCTTTGGGTGTGGGTGTGGCCACTGCAAGGCTAGGACAGCAGCTGACTGGAGTTTCGAGCCCCATCAAGACGCACCATCCTGGGCGTTGGGGCACCCTCTACTCATCAGCAGTACGAAAACAGGTGGCGTCTGTTTTCCCAATGGTGTTCTGACCACAATGAAGATCCAGTCTCCTGTAAAGTACCCACCATTCTGGAGTTCCTCCAGTCTCTCCTTGGAAAGGGTCGCTCTCCTTCGACGCTTACAGTTTATGTAGCAGCAATTTCATTTAATCACGCCGGCATCAA